ATTTTAACTTTAACGGTAACCGGCGATATGGTGCAACTCACCCTTAATACTGGCAACCGCTACCAACCTCGACTGTAGGCGTCAAACGGCGGAAATCAAAAAGGCACGCAACCTTTAGCCTGTCTATTCTTATAAGTCAGTGTCATTTTAATATTATTGACAGTACAATTTTAAATTAGAAATTACTCTTCACATGTTTTTAGAAAAATAAGACATTTTTTCCAATGGGAATTAATGGTTTCAAAAATACATCCAAACTTTGTACTTATTTTGTCACATCAAAGGAGCATTTCATTAATATCTTAAAAACCGCTAAAACTTTTCCAAATCGACAAATAACCTATTAGCGCTCTGTCATCGTTCATTTCTCTGCTTCCTCCAGTTCAGTAGAGGCTGGTTCAGTTCCTCCTCGATCTGACTTTGAGATTTGCCTTTCGTCTCCGGCAGCAGTACGTATAAGCCTGCTGTCCCCAGCAGCGTACTGCTGGCGCACAAGTAGTATACTGCGTGAAGTCCCAAGTAAGAGGCCAATGAACCGAAGTACCGTAGCAGTAAGAAGTTGCTAAGCCAAGTGCAACTGATGAGGAAACTCGATGCTAGACTTCGGACCTGAAGTTGAGATACCGATCAATTGTTAGGGCACTTTTGACTGAACTGCGATTGTCGATTGTTCCGCAGTCGATTCAACTGTTTAGTTGCACAACTGAAAATCGATTAGTATGCGCACCTACATATAGGCTTATAGGAATCAAAGAGAGACTAAGCAGTTGTGGGATAGTTTAGTCAAAGGTGTGCGCATGCTCTAAATGGAAACGTTGAAAGCTGAAAGGATCTCGATAAAATTTTGCATGGACATAGAGGATAGTCTGGAAGAACACATAGGCTACTCGCTTGTTTTTACCTCCACGCGAAAGGGGGTCACGAGCGAGAGCTAGTTTGCCATAAATGTTGAACATAGTCTGGAGGTCACGTAGGCTTCTACACTTTTGTTACTTAAATACTCAGAAACAACAATAAACTGGACTAAACATACGCTTAGTGTAGAACTAGGTTGTAATGTTGCATGGACTCTGAGTGTCAATAATTATTGAAAACTATACTTACATTCACCGAAAACAACTCCGATATCAGGACATACGGAACTGAACCCAAACCGATGTTGTAAAGAAACAGTACAATTGATAACAGAGTAATAGGCGCCCAGACTTCTTCACTACCTTCTTTCTGTTCGTATTTTACCGACCAGGTAGTAGGCGTTACATTTTCCAAACTTATTCTGAACAAACCCACTGGATCTCCACTAACATTACTCATACTGTCATTGTAAAGATCACTATAGCTATCTCTCTCTGTTATATGTTCTATTTCTCTCATTTTATCTTTAACAATCT